ACATCAACATATTCAATAACCTAGCAAGAGAGGATAAAACAGAACTACACAAATATACTCTGAATAGATAAACACACTGAATGTATTTGTAATAAACAGAGTTGTGAATGTGGTTTGTTGTGGTGAATTCATCTAGCTTGTCTAATGATAAAAAATAGCCATAGAAATCCTTTTTTTTTTATGTCCAAAATAATTGATTTCGGTAGCAAAACGCCAGTTAGCACAGCTTTTTATACTGTAAATTAAGAAAATTGCCCTTAGATGTAATATCCTTAGTTACTGCGAGCAGTTCAATTCAAGTCAAATATGAACAATCCATTAATTGGCCAATCAGGAGTATTGCAGATGTGACCCCATTAGTCTCGATCTGTCACAGACTCTAAAGATTCAAGTCAATACTCAAGGTTAAAGGTCAAATGTTTGTTTGCACTGTCACTCTCGTAAGATGTCCCTCTTTTCATGCTCACTCACTAGAGTACATCACAAACCCAGGTTTGATGAAGCTATCAAAAAATAAAGAAGAAAAAATGCTTAAACGGTTATTACAAAAGAAGCAGCTGCCATACGTCATCAGGTCTTTGGATGTAGCGGTCTTTTGTTGTTGTAAGTGGCCTTATTAGTGACATTTTTTGCCAGTCTCACAGTATTTCCCAAACTAAATTATGTGAATTATTATTTACCATAAGAATGTTCATATCAATTATTTCATTACTTTATCAATGTAACATTATATTTTAATGAACAGGTCAAGAGCAAAGCATTAGGTTTCTGCAGAAACACCATTCGTTGTGGAAAGTTACATTTGAACGACATCTAAAAGCAAAATAAAAACACACTAAAAAAAGTTGGCGCCTTAAAATTTTAAGGACAATCAACTTGGATGTTTAATTCATTTCAACTTAAATGACATTAAACTGACTTTAACAAATGAGTTGAATCTTGTAGAACAAATATTTTTTTGAAAATTGCTTAACTTATTTTGGTGAGTTAAAGCAATGTAAAAACATGTCACAACTTATTGATCATTATCATTTTTTTAGTGTAGATTTTGGTGGCAAAGCGAGTTTAATATATTGCAGTAACTGTTATTGAAATAGTTGTTGTTTCTGCGACAGTAATGCCTCCATCCAATCAACAACTGATATATCGATAGAACAAAAGTCCCTGCCCAACAATTTATTTTTCGATAATCCGTTTCACTCGGATGTATGTCACAATATGGGGGAAAAAAAGTCAGTTTCATCTCAACTTTAACCTTACATTTATCTATTCAATATTGTTTTTCCTAGATGAATGCATTTGAAATAACGAGGGTTAGGGTTTGTCAAATGTGATTGACCTGTAAACTCACATGTGCTAGTATTTGTATCACTGGGTTGGCATAGGAAACGGTAAAAAGCTCATTTCATCGCCATGCATGTCAAGTATTCTAGTGCTTGATGAGAACTTGTTTATTCGCCAGTTCATTAAGATGTGGTGCTCAATATTGATCATGATGGCTTGATTGCGAGGCATGGCACACGGCTCGGGAAACCACCTGGTGGCTTCATTAAAATGTATTTATTCCGTTTTAGGTTCACTTCGGTGTAGGGGAGTCTGAAATGCCGTGGGAGATAGACAGATGGCTGGTGGTCTATTTTGACATGGTATGTTTTGCTACAACAAGCTACAATTGGTGGTTGGTCATATCAGAATTAAGACCACTGAATAGATCTGTGTATTACTTGATAATCCAAACCGATTAGGCTAAATGTGTAAAATTATTTTTTCCCATTGCTATTGTTTTTGTAGTCACACCACCCAGACTCAGGGCTCTGGGCTTCCTTCAGGGCTTACCATCTACATGCAGGTACTCTATGTTGAACATACACTCACCTAAAGGATTATTAGGAACACCATACTAATACTGTGTTTGACCCCCTTTCGCCTTCAGAACTGCCTTAATTCTACGTGGCATTGATTCAACAAGGTGCTGAAAGCATTCTTTAGAAATGTTGGCCCATATTGATAGGATAGCATCTTGCAGTTGATGGAGATTTGTGGGATGCACATCCAGGGCACGAAGCTCCCGTTCCACCACATCCCAAAGATGCTCTATTGGGTTGAGATCTGGTGACTGTGGGGGCCATTTTAGTACAGTGAACTCATTGTCATGTTCAAGAAACCAATTTTAAATGATTTGAGCTTTGTGACATGGTGCATTATCCTGCTGGAAGTAGCCATCAGAGGATGGGTACATGGTGGCCATAAAGGGATGGACATGGTCAGAAACAATGCGCTGGTAGGCCGTGGCATTTAAACAATGCTCAATTGGCACTAAGGGGCCTAAAGTGTGTCAAGAAAACATCCCCCACACCATTACACCACCACCACCACCACCACCAGCCTGCACAGTGGTAACAAGGCATGATGGATCCATGTTCTCATTCTGCTTATGCCAAATTCTGACTCTACCATCTGAATGTCTCAACAGAAATCGAGACTCATCAGACCAGGCTCAAAATTGCTTAATCACCTTTCTTTCCCATTCTGACATTCAGTTTGGAGTTCAGGAGATTGTCTTGACCAGGACCACGCCCCTAAATGCATTGAAGCAACTGCCATGTGATTGGTTGATTAGATAATTGTATTAATGAGAAATTGAACAGGTGTTCCTAATAATCCTTTAGGTGAGTGTACATTTGCTATTTTTATACATAACTTAAAATGATGGAAGTGCACCCTCCAATTGGTTTAACAGCATCATTTTTAAAAGTATTTAGAGGAATGATCCATGTCCTGTAGATACCTTGACAAATTTACTGATTTTGATCTGTCATCTACTAAATGCGTCAAAATAGGATTTCAGATTAAGAGAATAAAAAAAAATAAAAAATTACAAGAATTTTCTACTTGGAATGAATGAGCTAGATTCCTCATTAGCATATTTAGTTGCCATGACAACTGCATGTAGAGAGCACAACCATGAGGACGAGAGTCTGTCCGGAGACACTGACCACACTTTCATCACGTATGGGTCTATAAATGTACAAATTCATCAACAAAACAGAATACATTTGCTCTAGAACAGATTTATAAAACATTTAATTTACATTTTTTAAATTATTATTTTCCAGAGAGAATGAAATAGGAGCTGAGGGTGTGAAGTTGTGCATCAAACTTGGGATCTCTTCACAGAACCAACCACATTCAGGGATATCAATGCTCTTTCTCGCACCGACATCTCCAAAGTCTTCAGAGGTATTTGATAAGAGGCTGGGTTCCATACTTGAACAGAGTAAGTGAAATGGTTACTGTGAACACGCCATGTCCTTCCCACGCATAATGCCACTTTGTAAATTCTGTAAAAGTCTCTTTCAAGACACTGGAGGTTTGGAGCATAGTGACCTGAACCTGACACACTTGAGTCCTAGAAGAAGGCAGACTCGAAAAAAAAGACTAAGTTTGTATACAAGTAAGGCATTGTGGGTTCATTCTCAAGGGGAGAGTGAGGAATTGCTCAGATCTTACAGACAAAACTTCAGTCTAGACTAAACAATCATTTTAAAGAGACTGAACAATAACAACAAATATCAACAAAACTAAAGTCGTTTATATATTTACAAAAGCCTTCCTCAATCTTACAGATTACCTTGAATATATAGAAAGAAAAAGTACAAAGACAACAAAACCAGTTAAATTCGAACACTTAATCAATGGGAAAATAACAGAAGGGGGTTTGTGCGCAGGCTAAATCTTTTACATACAGTCATTGGTGACAAGACAATTTACGCAAAGGTGAAATACCTATATTAAAGAAATAGTTCTCTCAAAAAAGAAAATTCTGAAATCTGTATTTTTTCCTCTACCCTATGGAACACATAAGCAGTCATCTAGCTAAATGTGCAAGCTGCTCTTTTTCATACAATGAAAGTGAAAGGCATGGTTTTCAGTGTAAAACATCTTAAGTTTTAGGCATTCCCACCCAATGCGATCATATGGCTTGAGAAGACTTGCAATATAGTGTACAAGTTGTATGGTGTTGTAAATGTATGGTGCTTTTTTTTTTTTGTCCTTTGGTCCCCATCCACGTACATTGTATTGAAAGAGAACAGCTGAGATATTCTGCTAAACTTCTGCTTTGGTGTCCCACAAAAAGTGTTACAACACAACATGAGGGCGAGTAAATGTTGACAGATTTATCATTGGTAGGTCAACTATCCATTTAAAAATCAAGCATCATGTACAAATATATCTAAGAATATTATTATGTGGCATTAGATCATGGGTAACAGAACATCTGAAAAGATTGGCTGTAGTTCTGTCATTTCATGTAGCTGATGATGTTGAATCTGTGTTGATTACAAACCAGTTCTCTCCTCTGGATAAGTTAACAGAAGACCACAAATTAACAGACTTATCCTCATCTACATCTTGCAACATTGAAGACAGATATAGTGTAAAAAACAACAACAAAAAAAACAGAGGTTAGATTCTTGCCTTACAAACATGGTGGCTCTGTAGTTATTTTTGCAAGTGAATTTTATTTCCACCATGCACACTGCATCTCCACCATGGATATTGTTTTATCAAGCCATTATACAACTATGAAATTCAGAGGATTACCATTTACATTGCCATGGTTCCACTCGATATACCGAGAGGAAAACCAAAGTAGTCAGTGCAGTTTTTGTACACATAGGTTTTCTGAGGCAAATGTTACACATTCATGCCTAGAATCTTCCCAATGTAGCATTTGATTCTGTGAAGCTAGATTCACTTGTCAAGTTCCTGTGGATTTTGGGCCGGACATCCCAGACAATAAATGTGGTCATCCACACCTGAACTTTGCCGGGGGGGTAATCAGAAGGTTCCGAAGATTGAGGTGTTTGTATCCTTGGGGTGTACAAGGGAAAATCTCAATTGCACTTCAACTGACTGCACAATCCCCTCTTTATCTCGAGAAGAACTCCTGCCATCCATCTACCATACTAACCTACAAGTGAATCTGGAAAGTCTGCGTTGTTTTTGCAGGTGACTCTTGGACAGAAATATACACAAATGTATATATCTCCCAACCGTTGCCTTCAGAATCCGCAGTCTGTTAGGGAAGCAGAGGTTGTCGATTGTTTGGATCAATGGAAAAAGCCTAACGCTGCCACCTCAGCACATGGAGATGGTCACGTTAATACCCAGATTGCCGTTGTCTGCAAACAGGTGAGCAATAGAGGTATCAAATACAAGACAGTCACTGTTCATGATGGCTGCCGCTACACCGTCGTGGATTGAGCGCGGCGTGGCCTCCCACGTGAGCCGCCTACGGTTGCCGTTTAACTCGAGGCGGTAGGCAAAGTTCTCCGCTTGCTTTCGCGTGCCAATGAGCAGCACGATTGCAAAGAACTGCTGGTGTCCCTCGTATTTCTCCTGCTTCTCTAGAACCAGCATGAAGTGGTGGCCGAAACACGACTGCATCATGACCCAGTCCACAGCCCCGGGTAGGTTGATATCCGTGGCCAGAAAGACAATGTCCTCGCCCTGTAAGGTGGTAATGGATTTGTGGGCATGCATGAGATGTGGCATGACGGCCTCCAGTGAGCCCTGCCATTTACAGGAGGCCCCCGGGCATGGGCAGGTGTACGGGCGAAACTCACACACTTCTTCATGTTCTGGCTTCTCGCTGTGGTGAAGGGACAGCAGACATCCAGCCGAGGCATACTGTTGGGAAAAAACGAAGAAGAAAAGAGACATTAATAAAAGGCTTCTGGTACAAAACTGAAAGTGAAGAGTGTTTGGATTAGGAGTCCTCGGGTAAGTAATGGGAAAACACTGACAGAGTAGCAGGAAAGGTGAGTGGGAGGCTGAGAAATGGTGAGAGAACAAGAAAAAATTGAGAAAAAGTAGGATAAGGGGATTTCAGGAGGGCAGGTGAAGGACACAGGAGATTATATATAGGTAGGGCAAAGAAGGAACTAGGCCATGTGTCGAGATATTTGAAACGCATCCATAAATTACATAGAGTGATCCGTCTGTTCATGTGTGTACTTGCCATAAAAGCGACGTTGCTACTAATCATGTGTCAAGCTGTGACAACCCTCTCATTCTTTTAATGCACGTGTCCATGCAGTTTGGGGAAATGAGTGGGACGGATTGCGTTGCTTGAAGATGAATAGCACAGCAAGGCTCTCTCTTTGATTATCTCAGGAAGGGAATATCAATGAAGGTCAAATATGAATGTTCCCCCAATCTGCTCACTTTACTAGAAATGTGCACACTGCATAAAACCAACATTTATCTCCCTGAATGGCCTACTGGATTGGACTTGCATCAACAAAAGGTGAAATCCCATGATAACCTGATAAATGCCCCTTTCAGGGAATTTCATCAGCTTAGCAGAGCTGCAGTAAAGACAAGGTATTCAACTCAAATTGTGGGTAAAGGTTTAGATGAGACCATAGACAAAGCAACAAAGAAAGAAAATCCTAGCATGAATGGGCAGGAAAAATGAGCAAACATACTGGTTTTCTGACAAAAAAGCAAGCTCAATTATGTCTAGACAGTGAAGACCTAAGACCAAGTCGAAATCACTAAAAGCACACAAACTAAAATAATTTTTCCCCCCACTAAAAACCATTTTTAAAGCATTATCGGATTCTTTCTTCTGAAAATCCATGTAAACTTTATTAATTACTTTTAAATCCTTGCACCACAGTACAATCGGTTTCTATCAAGTTAGTGCAAGGCTGGAGGTGTGGGCGTTCAGCCCACTCAACGCCCCCCAAGGGTGTGCTTCAATATCTGCCAAATTAATTATTAATCTGAGTGGTAAGTCACTGGCTGCCTAGCAAAAATCAATGAGTGACAGCCGTTATCCAGTGGTCCAGAAGACCCCAGAGGCTGTAACTGCCTTAAAACACTGACATTTATTGTCAAAAGCCGTTAAGAAGCAGCTAGGAGAAAGAATCATTATATCTCCTTCACGTTACACTGGGTTTTCCAAACTGTCTTTCGTTAGGACATGGCCTGTGTCCAAATACCCTCAAATTCATTTAGCTAATCCTTCCTCATTACCCAGCCTTTCTTTTACGAATCAAACAATCTGACTTCTAGGGGTGTTGAAGGTTTATGTGTCCCATCTCTTCCCTCCAAATCAGACAGTTATCCTCTTATCCACCTTTTTAATGAGAGAATGACAGGATTTTGAGCGGTAATCCTAGGGCCGTACGGTGGAGATAAAGCCTTTTTCTGGAGCTTGTTGGAGCTGAGGGTATTGGCGTATCTGGTAAGAAGGAACCATATCAAGTGTTTGTTTAGGGTACACTGTTGAGTGTGTGAGGTTTTATGAGCATGTGTGTATTCAGAACCCTCAGTCATCACTATACCTGAATTCAGCTGTGAACTTCTCAAAACAACCCAGTATATCAGTAACCTCGCATTGATTAGCCTCTAGAAATGAACATTTCAACAACATATTTTAACATCCAAACACCAATATGCCCACAATTCCAAAAATCAATTCCGAAAAAAGGAGGACCAACATATTTGCCACTGGTTTCCTACTCTCATTCACTTTAATTAAAACTTTGAATCTATCACCAGCGTACATTGCTCTAGAGACCTGATAAAATAATAAATGAAGTGCTCTCTTTCTGGTACACCCTTGACGCTGTGCCAATTTAGCCCTGTGGAGACGCACAGACCCTGGGCTAGGAGCTTGGCTACTGAATTATTTACACAATTCCACATTTAAGTTGCAAATTATATCTTGCCACTTTAGCTAAAAGCGGGAAGTCACTGGATATGCTAATTTTGATAGATGACAAGGAATTTTGACAATCTATCGTTTTATAGTGTGTTGATATGAAAGTGTATTTTAAATCAACAAATCAGAACACAAAATGGGCATGTAAAAGTCACTCTTCATATGTTTTTTGTTGGGTTTTAATTTTACCCTAGGATAAAATGCTCAGTTTTCAAAACAATTTTAAGCACATTGTGCTTCAAGTACGGTTAAGCTTCAAGGGTACCTTTCCTTGTACCAAATGACTGATGCCTTTGCCTACAATGTTGACAGTTGGGAAGCACTGGGTAGCCTCATTTCAAGAAACTATTGATGTCTCCCATTCACCTATTCAGAGCAAATGAATGAGAGGCAGGCTTATCTCTCCTCCATTAACAAGCAGGAGGACCTTCAGTTGCCATCACCGAAGTGTCAGTTGAAAGCGAAGGCGTCTCCGCATTCAGATCCCTAGAGACTAAACCCAGGACAGACAAGATGGCATCATCATTACCGTCTCTTTTCCCTTCTCTCTCAAGGACAGGGTGAACGCATGAGACATGGCAAGAGAAAGCGCTCTTTGACCAAGAAAGGCCACCATCATCTTGGTCTCCTCTTATAAGGCACCATGTCATTGTCTCTGCACATGACCTCATCACTCCTGGGGAGCAGCAAGACCCAGCTCATAATTACAATCATCTCTGTGGGGGCCTTCAAATAACCCAATGGAAAGGCACAGAGAAATCGGATTTCTCCTGATCAGTGGCAAGCCGTCGCACCCACTTCAACCACAGCAATGGAAGCCTAGACACTCGGAATCAATAGCAATTCAGTTAAAAGTTTCAAAGCTGAAATCGGCCCAGTGAAAGCCAGAGTAATTAGGTTAAAGGGGGGAGGGGAGTTCTTGCTTCCAGTCTTCTCGCTCGGTTCTTCAATTACATTTAATGTTTTTACGGAGCAATTAGTGTAATGTGTCTATGTGAACATAGTATAATTGGCATTGAGCTGGAAAGAGATGGAAACTGAGCCTTCTGTAATGTAGGACGACATTTAAGTGCGAGACTAAAACAAAAAAATCTACAATTTCGAGAATCAAGTCGTAATGTTTTGAGAATGATTTTATAAAAGGCGTTTTACAAAAAAACCATTGTGATGGTTTTAAGCCTTTTAGCGTTTTTGTGTGTCTTTGAGGCTATTTTTTGTGAATGTCATAAAATTATGAATTTTTATTTCATGTTTTATGACTTTTTTCTTAAAACTTAGCCTAGAGAAAGTATTGTATTACCATTATACTATTATGAGAGTATTTTTAAAGCAATATTTTATTTCTGTAAACGGTGCAACTTTATCCACATAGGCATAGGCGGCTTCATTCCCTATTCCCGTAACATTAATATTTTCCTAAAATTGTCCTTTGGTTTCCTCTACAAGTAAATGCATGGGCTTAATGCCAGCTGTGACAAATGAAAACAGGTAACATAAGTGAGGGGGAAAAACCTATAAAATATTCCTGCAGCAAACAGTAAATGAACAAGTACCATAATACATAATATCTAACAAAAAATATTAATATATTAAACTCTTCACATGCAATACTCACCTTGCTCCCTGGAAGTGGCTTGGTATGACAAACTGGTCGATTTGTGCCCGTGACACAAACACCTCGTTGTCGTGGCCAACCGAGCAGGCACCGCAACTGGGACAAATCCCTCAGGAGAGGGAAACAGGAGGCCGGGCACAACATCACCCCAATACAGCAATACTCCAGTCAAAATGTTTGGAGACCGTTTGCCGTGTCAGACAAAATTACGCTAGCCTAATTCTATCTTCAGTATTCACAAATCAACCTGAAGAAAAGCTGCTCAACATAAACAAGAAAACTGTTTGGGGTCTTCCCATTCACAGGTAGATCAAATCTAAATCTTAAGAATCTTACTATTAATGCAAAAATAAAATGATTTTGAAATTGACTGGAATGAACCTACTGACCCTACTAAGAGTCAGAGGCAAACTGAACACGCTGTACTCACTCACTCAAGCGAAAACAACGTTCCCATGAGTGCATCTGTACAAGTCCAAGTGTGTACGGCAGCACAGAGTAATTATATTCAATGTCTCTCCGTTTACCTCAGATTCTGTTTGTGTTTCCTGAAGGACACTGCCAAAGCACAAGTCTTACGGACCGGTTAGAGCGACGCAGTCCCCTCGTCTGCTGGCTAACACATGCACATAACAACAGTAAAACCAAACAAACAATCTATTGATTCAAAACATACACCATGGACTGCTTTGTCCCCTCACAGGACCAGAAAGAGACCCACGCTGTGATTCAGTAGCCGTACAGAAACTGTCAGTGTCAAAACACCTCAATCCCAATTTAAATTCTGTTCTCATTCCATGCAGACGCAAAAAAACCCCCCCAAAAAAACCACGCTTTTCTCTCAGTTCCCAATTCTGGATTTTCAGGTCAAATCAGTTCTTTGAAAAAGCTCTCAGGATAAGCCACAAAAACATCTACGAACCGCAGCATCCTGTTCAAATCGATCAGCCTCAATGAAAGGCTTTTAAACGCAGTCAGGTGAGATGTTGTACCCGCAGGAAAGCGTCATCCTCTTCTCATATTGTGCAAGATCCTACAGATATAGCTGGCTAAATGACTGCGATCTCTGCAAAACAATCTTTCCTCCTTCCTTCCTTTCTTGTCTCCTCTGTTGTTGCTGCGCTCCGGAGGGTGACAACTCAGCAGAGCTGCGGACGCGGAAAAACATTGTGGACTGCAGCACTGGCAGCACGCTTGCACACGACGGGAGGGGGTGGGGGAGGAGGAGGAGGAGGAGGTGTGTGTGTGTGTGTGTGTGTGTGTGTGGGGGGGGGGGGGGGGTTCTCACCTCCCCATTCCTCCGCTTGTGTTTTTTTCCCTCTCTCATGCCTGTAGCACAGC